TGTTCCTCTCCTAACTTCATAACCCCATTTACATTACTAGTGTATACATTTGAGGAGTAGAGTTCCCCTTAAATACTCTTTTGGCTTCAACCCACCAATTGTGATATGTAGCACTTTTATTACTAGTCAGTTCAAACTATTTTATAATTTTCACTATGATTGCTTTTTTTGAGCCATGGGTTATTTATTGGTACATTTCTTAATTTCCAAGCATATAAGGATATTCTAGTTATCTTTTTATATTTTGACTTTTAACTTGAAAGTGTTCATCAAAGAATTTATTCTATATCATTTCAGTCCTTTGAAATATGTTGAGCTTTGCTTTGTAAGCAGGTGTAGGGTAATTTTTAATGGACTCTGTATTCTTGAAACAAACGTGTAGGTGTTGGATGCAGTATTTTATATACATCCATTAAGTCCAGTTAATGAATCCTGCTGCCCAGGTATTACGTATTTTTACCGATTTTTTTGTCTATCTTTAACTCTCCATCAACTGCCTTCTTACTTTACACTTTTTTTTTTTTTTGTCCTGACAGGTCTATATTGTGTTTTTGTTTTTGTTTTGTTTTTTTTTTTTTCTCTCTCTCTTAGTTCTTGCCTCCTTCTGAATGATTTTTTTTCTTTTTTGGTCATTCCATTTCCTCTACTCTACTAATTTGATGGAGTTATTTTTGTGGTGCCTAAAATTGGAGTATAGGTATTTTACTTTGGATCCCACAAGGCACTGGTGAGGGTGTGGGAAAGTGACAGAAAGAAAGGAGGCCAATCAGGCTCCGTTCATGAACCAGTTACTGCTGTGGGCAGCTGGGACTCACTCCTGCTGGGACCTCTGCGAGAGTGCAGAGAACATGTTATGGCATTTCTATTCCAGGAGCAAGGAAGTTGGCATAATTATTCAGCATTTCTCATCTGTCACTGGGTGAGGGCCTGAGGACTGCTGCATTAACTCTCCAGCTTTTCTGACTTGCTCTGTGTAGGGGCCAAACATACTCCTACAACCAGAGAAAACCCTCAGGCTCAGGTCCTTGCAGTAGAAAAATGTTGAACAGGCATGGCGAGTGCCAAGGAAGTATGCGCAGTATACCATCATCTGTTTGGAATGACAATATGCATTGTTAACTTATCAGTCTAAAGATAATCAATACTTTTACCCTTCCTGGATAATTCAAAGATCTAGAACACTTCAACCCCATGTATTTACACTCCCCTGAAATTTATAGGCTGTTGCTATTGTGCCTTTTAATTCCATCTTGCTTATTTTTAACCACATATGACATTACTTTTTAAAATTTTTAAAAAGATTTTATTTAATTATTTAGAGAGAGAAAGAGAAAGAGCATGAGTGGGGGGAGGGGCAGAGGGAGAGACAGAATCTCTAGCAGACTCCATGCTGAGCCTGCTTGAGCCTGACGTAGGGCTCAATCTTACAACCCTGAAATCATGACCTGAGCCAAAATCAGGAGTCAGACCCTTAACCGACTGAGGCACCCAGGAGCCCTATGACATTATTTTTTAATACGTCTATTAGAATTACCCACAAGTTAGGGTCCTTACTTGTTCTTCATTCTTTCTTGCATCTCAGACCTTGATCTTTTGCGCACTAGTATTTTAGAGCTATTTTCTCATGAGGCCGTGACCTAAGGTAACAAAGCAAATACATTATGAGCTGACCACATGGGAAGAAGAGCCCATGCTTCCAGCTGTATGGGAGTGGCATGCTTTCTTGACTTCTTCCATTTCTCCCTCCTTCCCTCTCTTTCACTCTCCCTGCCTCTCCTCCTCCCTTTTTACTTCCTTCTTGCTCTTTGCTCCTTCCAGAGGCTATTGCTTTTGGAACTATGTCTTCACTCCATTTTGTCCATACAAGAAGATTGCCTTTCCAAGCCAATGCCCAAGACATTATCAAGTGTTTTGCTCACTGAAGCCTGTTGGAATCACCGTGGAATAGAGTTCCAGTAGGAAGACCACTGGAAAAGCTGATGTGCCCTTCAATGTCCATGAGGACACCGTTGCAGCTCTGCTCAAGGACTGCTCTCATGTTCGCCACCAGGATATTCAGTTGCTCCTGAATTCATATTCAAAAGGAAAATAAGACATCCAGGGACTCCAAATAATAAGGATAAAGCAAGAAGCATTTCGTATATACATCTTTCTTAGACTTGGGATGTGAAGTTCTGTTTTTTTAGCCGCAATTGCTAGGAAAAGGATTTGAGGGTTTTCGGTTAATTGCTTCTCAGAAAAATTCCACAGTGGACCATTGAGAAAGAAAAAGGGAAAATGCAGTTTGGGATAATGAAATAAACCACACATTTAAATTTTTGTTTGAACTGTTCAGGATCTGATTTAAAAATCTGGTCTTTGTTTTATGTGATTAAACAGTTTGTTTTCATAGAGTCTATGTTAACCTTAAAAAAGGGAAAAAAAAGCTTTTCTTTCCAGAAAAGCTTCCAGAGGCTGTTGATTTTGGAAATATATTTTCACCACATGTATATTTGTATATTCATGCATTCATAATTATAACAGACATTCATGTGCAGTGGATAGAGGGCCAACATGGGGGGCAGATTTCAATCTACAGTGAAATCTGATTCTGACTATAAATCTTGGCAGCTTCTGAAAAGGGTAGGAAAAAATTAATGACAGGATGAGGGGGCAAGGGATACTATAGTATCAAAGCCACATATAAGCTATATAGCCACTATTTTCCAAAGTCCCCTGTTAAACTGACCCATGAGTGGGAAGAGGATACGTTTCCCAAGGTAAGGATTCAACATAAGGGAAACTATGGTTTAAATTTCTCATTACCTTGAACAGAGAACATTGAACAGAACAGATACTATTAAAGAAAACCAAATTACATCACCTTAACATATGTCACTTTGGCATTTGATTATTTTAAATTAAAGGCATTTAAAAAACCAGTAGGCCCAAGAAGGACACTCTGATCCTCCTTTTTCTTCCTGAAAGCAGGAGATAAAAGTCCCATATGAAAGGTACCCTCCTTGTTCTAGGAGGAAGGAAGACATTCTTATCACCAGAGACAGGGAATTTGGTGCTAAGAAATCTGTACACATGAACCCTATTAAAACAATCCTTACCCTCTTAGTTACTTATTTATCATTTACTACCCTTAGGCCAAACCCTTCTGTCTTGTCAATTCTTCACAGATTGATTGTTTCCTTGTCTAAGGGTATAAAGGCTTCCTGCTCTGGTCACTTTTTTTTTTTTTTTTAAGATTTTATTTATTTATTTCACAGAGACATAGAGTCAGAGAGCACAGCGGAGGGAATGGCAGAGAGAGAGAGGCAGAGGGAGAAGTAGGCTCCCCACTGTGCAGGGAGCCAGATGCAGGGCTCAATCCCAGGACCCTGGGATCATGACCTGAGCTGAAGGGAGTGGCATGCTTTCTTGCTTAACCATCTGAACCACCCAGGCGCCCCTGTTCTGGTCACTTCTTGAGGTCTTCATTCTCTTGTGAAGCCTCCCATGTACATGTAAAATATTAATAAAATTCACATGCATTTCTCCTATTAATCTGTCTCATGTCAGTTTAATTCTTAAGTCCAGCCAGAGACCCAAAGATGGGAAAGGAGAATTTTTTTCCTCTTCTATGTTATTATCATCCCAATTTTATGTGCCAAACCTGAGGCTTCCAGATCTCAAAAGTTAGTTTTTCTAACCGCCATTGTCATATGAATTGTTGGTGGCAAATCAGGATGGCAATTTTTGTCTTTTGACTTTGAGTTCTGGATGCTTCCTGCTGGAGATACTCCACTACCCAGGTAGTTGGGAGAAGCAGGGTCTGTCAGCCATGGTGCCTCCGAGCCACTCACAATGACACCTTGTATTGATTCCACATCCTTCCCGTCTGTGACTTGACTTTTGAAGGTCCAACTGTTGCAGTAATCTGAGATGATTTGTCTGTTCCATCTAAGTCCCTGTGATGGGCAGTCTCACTACCACACAGATCTCTTTTACTACCCCAACATTTACTGGGAAGTCTCAATGACCCAGACTGGACCAGGCAGATTCTCTAAGGAACTGGATTCAGACCATGCACACCCAGTTGGCCAGCTGCGAGGAGATGGGTTAGAAGATTCTGTAAGGTCAGGTGCAGAGACCAGCATTGGGAATGTTCTGAATGGAGCCACGTGTAGTGGATGAGTAAGAGAAGCCAGTTTGCAGAGAATCAAGGCCCCTAGCCCTCCAAAGAGAGACAAAAAGAAAGAGAAAAGGAGGAAGAGAAAGAGAGGGAGAGAGAGAGAAATTAGTTGCCTAATGAATTTCTGGTTCATGAGACCCAGTTAGATACCCTGCAGTGTGTTTCCACTATATTCTCCTATTAATAATTCCTTTTTCACTTGAACGTCTTTGGGTGAGTTTCTCTGGTTTGTAGCCAGATGGGCCCTTGCTAAGTCATCACCCGTGGCATATAGGGTACTCAACTGTGATTGCGTTTGCTGCAATATGACAATAGTCAACTAATCAACCAGTGTTTAGAACACTTCCTAGGTAGGTGTGATAGGCAGAGGGCTGAGCCATAGTCCTTGATCTAAAAATGGTTTTGTGTATCATTCACGTGAAAGCTAGGTTTGGGAAGTAAGATTGACACAGACAAAACCAGGAACAAATGCATGACATGACAAAATCAAGGGTTTGGCTGGGTGAGCTAATTCTAAGGGCAATGTGAGTCCAGACAAGGGAATATAAGGATTTCTTAAGGGAAGTAAAGCACTTAAATTTCATCTTGAAAGGACCGTCAGGAATTGAATGGATTGAAATGAGTGGGGAGGCTTGGGGAAGAGGTGGTTGCCAAATGGGGAGGACTGGCAGCTACTGGGGAGCTGCGGATGCACAGGGAGGGGAGTGAGGGGCGTGCAGAGCACGAGGAGAGGGTTACAGGAATGTGGCTTGCCCAGACATTGGAGGAAGCCTCATCCAGGTTTTTAAAATTGCTCCTTTACCCTCTCATTTGCTATTCCTTCTTTAGCCAATGTTCCTTAGCCCTAAAGACATTTCCTAATCCTCTTCTTTCCTCTCTTTCTTCATGACTGTCAAAAATTTAAACCATTCTTTGTGGGTCTCTTTTGGATGAATCATTACAAGAAGAATGATGGTGCCCTGGGGAAATGACCCACCGCTCTAAACTTAGTGGTTCTTCTATGAGTTAAATGATTTCCCGGACGAGCTCAGATGATTCCTCCAGCACTTGAACTTCACCCCTTGGCTGAGAATTGCATGCAGCTCGTGGCCCTCCCCTTACCACACGCACATTTCCTAGGCACTCTTGCCCAAAAGTTTCATCACCTCCTAGAGCAGCCAAAACATTCTTGGTGTATTTCTGTTAGTGTTTAACCAAATGTCGGTCCCTAAGGGGTGGGTTGAACTAACAGAAGAAAGATTGAAGCCTGAGACTTAAAAAGACAGTTTTTGCAGGGTGACTCCCTGGGTTCTGGAGGAGAGGGAGGGAGGGTAGTGGACACAGGAGCGAGCCACGATGGAACCTAGCTTCACCTCCAAGGACACTTACCTGAGACATTTTAACCCTCGGGATTACCTAGAAAAATATTACAACTTTGGGTCCAGACACTCTGCGGAAAATGAAATTCTCAGGCATCTTCTGAAAAATCTTTTCAAGATATTCTGCCTGGGTAAGTTCATGTGTTATCTGTGTGTCTCCCCGGCAAAATGTGAGACATACAGATGGAGTCTCAGGGCATGGCTGGGTTCGTGAGTAGTCATTGCTAAGTGATAGTCCTTTTGGCATTACTCATTCATTTAAAGAGAATGAAAACCAATGTTTTTTTTTGGTATCGACATTTTACAATTTACAGTGTTTTTATATGCATGATCTAATTTGGGTGTGCAAAGGGAAACGAGAAGGCAGGAGTTCTGTCCTTGATTTCACATCAATTTGCTAGGTGACCAGAGCCAACCATTTAACCATGATGGGCCACTTAAGAAGTGAAGATTCTAGTACTTACTCTGTTTCTAACTCAAAAGAATGTTGTGAATGTTCATGAAATAAAAAGACCTCCCAACATATGAAGAATTGGATGCTTTTTGGAGAGAGACAACTTAAAAAAATTTTAAAAACAAATTTAACTTTCCCCAGAAGTATTCCTTAATAGTTTTTACATTTTCTGTGTAGCAGTCTTTCTGGATCAGGGGTCTGGACACCAGATGTACATCTTTTCTTCCTTCTCCTACACCTAAAAATATCCCAGCAGCATGCCTCCAGCCAGGATTGGGGAATGGAAAATGCAAAGATGTTAAAAAAAGATTTTGAGGGATGAGGAGTGAGTAGAGAGATGGTCTGTTTTGGGGGCTCTCTCACACAGTTCCAGCGAAGATCGTGCGTATCAGCTCTGGCTGCCATCATATGATGCCTGATCCCCTTTCCTTGTTGCCTCCTCTAAACCAGATGGCGTGAAGGGGGACCTCCTCATCGACATTGGCTCTGGCCCCACCATCTACCAGCTTCTCTCTGCTTGTGAATCCTTCAAGGAGATCATTGCCACTGATTACACAGACCAGAACCTGCAGGAGCTGCAAAAGTGGCTGAAGAAGGAACCAGGGGCCTTTGACTGGTCCCCAGTGGTGACCTACGTGTGCGAGCTTGAAGGGAACAGGTAGAGAAACCAGGGTCTGCTTCCCGGCTTTCTGACGGTACCCGAGTGACGGTTCATTTTTCTGAACCAAGAATTATCCATAGTGCCCAAGTTAAAAAACAAAGGGAACAGAGAGAGCCCAGAGAGAAATCCAGATGGAGAATAAGGAGAGAGAGAGAACGAGCCAGAGGGGAGTGGGAGTGTGTGCATGCACGTGCGTGTACCAGAAAAGCAGAACGTGCGTGAAGACACAGGAGAATTGAAGAGATGGCCACTGAGCCAAGAGGAGACAAAACCTTCCCAGGACAGTGTGGGGGTGCAGCGTGCAGGTCTGGTACCATGGGACAATGACACAGGACAAGGTCAGGGAAGAGGTGAACCCGGCTCCTTACCAGCAGCTTTGGGGTGTCAGGGCTTGCCCTCCAGAGCCATCCTCCATCCCAGTGCACGGGACTCTGCCACGAGGGAGCTAATGCTGACATCATCAGACACAACAAAAAGCTGACTAGGTTTTCGAACTGGGATTAGCAGCATAAAGGAATTATCTGTAAAGAATTTGTTACTCCCCATCCACAAAAGTCAGAGCTTGACATAGTCACAACTAATGACCAACAGCTTAGCCTACCCCGTCTACGGGTCAGTTTATGCAAATGAGTCTTGTTTAAATGATTAATTTCTCTCCACACGAGAACTGGTCAATAACCTACTAGCCAGAGGTGTCCCGTTCTGCATTTCGCTTTGTCTTTCTCTTGTCCTGATGTGCCTCCATCCTCTGGCGATTGCCCTGTGATGGCTCAGCCCAGTCCTGCTGTCCCTCCAGCAGCCGGAAGGCTCTGCTGCTATGCATGTTGCCGAGGCCCCACAGACTCCTTTGCAAACTGCATCAAAAGACCACTTCAAGATTCCTCTTCCGATCCTGCTGGCCCTGTCTGCTACTTCTTATATGCTCAGTTATTTCTACCTTTCTGTCTTTTTCTACCCCCTGCTCTTACTGATTTTTTTTTTTTTTTTTGGTGCATTTTCTCTTTCTCCACCCTCTTGCCCATGGTTTATTTTTTACATAACCCTTCCCCATTCCACTTCTTCCTGGGTTTGCACCCCCACCTTTGCTCATATACTTTGCTCATATACTAATCTGTATGGTACAGCATCCTCTGTCTTTCCTTGTCTTGTTGCTCACAATGGGAAAGCATACCTGTTTTTTTAAAGATTTATTTATTTTAGAGACAGAGAGAGAGAGAGAGCACGCGGGATGAGGGGCAGAGGGAGAGGGAGAGAGAAACTTAAGCAGAGTCACATTGAGCATGGAGCCCGATGCGGGGCTCGATCTCCAGACCCTGAGATCAGGACCTAAGCCGAAGGTAGATGCTTAACCGACTGAGCCACCCAGGTGCCCCCAAAGCATACCTATTCTTAATGAACATATCCCATGCTTTGGTCAGGAAAGGGCTCTGACTTCCCAGCAAGACAACCCCCTTCAAGAAACAAGTGCTGACACTTTTTGGCTCTTGGTTAAAGGAACTAGCATGAGCATGTATGATGTGCCACATAGTCCTAGCTACTAGGATAGACTGTTGGACAAGAAGAGGAAACCTCGAGTCTCCTAGACCTCGTATCAGGGAAGGCAGGCGCATGTCAGATCACTTAGGGCTTTGAGGCCAGGCTAACAATCCTGTACTTCAAGTGTGATGAGAAGGCATTAGAGGTGTAACTGGGAAAGTGATGTGACCCCATTTACATTTACGAAGATCTCTTTAGCTGTTGTGTGGAGAATGGATTGGAGGGTTTAGAGGAGAATGAGAGATGCAGAAAGGAGACACTTTAATCCAGGTAAGAGATGATGGTGGCTGGGACCAGTGGATTTGTTGGTGATAGAGAGAGGAAGATGATTTTAAGATGAATTGTTGAGATAGGCTGGATAAAAGTTTGGTAATGATTTGTCTTGGGGAATGATGACAGGGAAGTCTCAGGGATGATGCCCATGTTTCTCAACTTGAACAACAGGAGGAGTGAAGTAATATTCCAGAATCCCAGAGGCAAATGTAAAATCATGTGATCTTAACATGTCCCTAAGGAGTATGTCTACCTCCATACTCTTCTTCTGGAGTGATGGTCAATTCATTTTTCTATATGTGCACTTAAATTTGATTCTCATCGCTTCACCAAATGTGCTTATTCATGAGTCAGATTCTCTTCTGAAACTAACTCTAAAGCCTGCTTCTATTTTTTTTTTTTAGATTTTTTTAATTTATTTGTTTTGATAGAGAGACAGCGAGAGAGGGAATACAGCAGGCCTGCTTCTATTTCTTTAACCCCTTCATTCTCTTTTCATGGTCTGCTGAATTCTAGCTTAGTTGGAGTATTCTAAACTTCATATTTGTTTTCTTACATGTTGTTGCTACACTGTCTTATTGATAGTCAATGTGGGTTGTCCGATGTAAGTTATCAAGGTGACTCATTGTTTATACAATTCCTTATAATATAGTATGAACAAATAGGAATTTCATATTTTGTTTCCCGATTAATGTTTTTGCTGTATGCGGAGTCACTAAACTTCCACTGGGTTTATGCTGGTCTTTCATCCCTTTTACAAGGAAAAGTAAGTCTTGAAATCAGATAGTGTAAATTCTCCTCCAACTTTGTTATTTTTCAAAATTCTTCTGGCAATTTTAGTGTCATATATATATGACTTTATATATGTATATATATAATATATATATTATATATAATTATATTTTAGTAAAATAATATAATATATATTATATATTAAACATATAATATATTTAATTTATATATTATATATAATACATTTAATATATAGTATATTTAATTTAATATATTTAATTGGAGTATAATTAACATACAGCATTATATTAGTTTCATGTATACAATATAAAGATTCAACAATTCTATACATTACTGAGTGCTCATCATACGTGTGCTCTCAATCCCCTTCACCTGTTTCCCCCATCCCCCCTCCCGCCTCCCCTCTGGCAACCACCAGTTTGTTCTTTGTATTTAAGAGTCTGTTTCTTTTATTTGTCTCTTTTTTTCTTTCTTTGTTTTGTTTCTTTTTTTTTTTTTAAGATTTTATTTATTTATTTGACAGAGACAGAGACAGCGAGAGCAGGAACACAAGCAGGGGGAGTGGGAGAGGGAGAAGCAGGCTTCCTGCTGAGCCAGGAGCCCGATGCGGGACTCGATCCCAGGACCCTGGGATCATGACCTGAGCCGAAGGCAGTCACTTAACCAACTGAGCCACCCAGGCGCCCCTTTGTTTTGTTTCTTAAATTCCACATATGAGTGAAATCATCTGGTATTTGTTTTCTCTGTTTGACTTACTTGACTTAGCATTATACGTTCTAGGTCCACCCATGTTGTTGCAAATGGAAAGATCACATTTTTATGGCTGAGCAATATATACATCACATCATTATCTGTTCATCCACTGATGGACACTTGGGTTGCTTCTCTATCTTGGCTATTGTAAATAATGGTGTAATACACATGGGGGAGCCTATATCTTTTCAAATTAGTGTTTTGTTTTCTTTGGGTAAATACCCAGTAGTGGAATTACTGGATCATATGGTAACTCAACTGTAATTTTTTGAGGTACCTCCATACTGTTTGTGGCTGCACCAACAGTGCATGAGGGTTCCTTTCTCTCCACATCCTTGCCAACACTTGTTATTTCTTATCTTTTTTATTTTAGCCATTCTGACAGGTATGAGGTGATATCTTATTGTGGTTTTGATTTGCATTTCCCTGATGATTAGTGATATTGAGCATGTGGTTCATGTGTCTGTTGGCCATTTGTATATCATCTTTGGAAAAATATCTATTCGGGTCCTCTGACCATTTTAATTGGATTGTTTCTTTGGTGTGGGGTTGTATAAGCTCTTTATATGTTTTGGTTATTAACCCCTTATCAGATACGTCATTTGCAAATAACTTCTCCCATTCGGTAGGCTGCCTTGTCTTGTTGATGGTTTCCTTCACTGTGTAAAAGCTTTTTTATTGTCATTATATTTCGATATAAATTTTAGAATAAACTGGGGTGCCTGGGTGGCTCAGTCACTTAAGCGGTTAAGTATCTGCCTTGGGCTCAGGTCATGATCCCAGGGTCCTGGGGTTGAGCCCCCTCCTCAGTAGGCAGTCTGCTTTTCCCTCTGTCTGCCCCTCCCCCGCTTGTGTGCGCACATGCTCTCTAATAAAATAAGTAAAATCTTTAAATTTTAGAATAAACTTGTCAATTTCTTTCAAAAAAGGCTGCTGAGACTTTGATAGTGATCTTTCAATTTACAAATCAGTTCAAGAGAATGGACATATAGAATCTGCAGTCCATAAACATGATCTATCTCTGTATTTATTTAGGACTTCTTTAGTTTCTCTCAGTAATGTTTTGTAGTTCTCATATTTTGTATATATTTTGTTAAATTTTTCCTGTGTTTTATTTTTTAATGTTATTGTTAATTTTATTTTTAATTTCAAATTTTAAAAATTTGCTAGTATATAGAAATATAATTGATTTTTATATACTGACTTTGTGTCCTGTAACCTTGTTGACTTCACTAATTAAGTTTAATAGTGCTTTTTGTAGATTCCGTAGGTTTTTCTATGTACACTCTTATATCATCTGCAAATAAAAATAGTTTTACTTCTTCTATTCCAACTATAGGCCTTTTATTTATTTTTCTGGCCTTATTACTCTGGCTAGGACTTCCCTAACAATGCTGAATAGAAAAGATGAGAGTAGACATATGTGCCCTTTTCTATATTATAAGAAAAAATGTCCAACGATTCATTGTTAAGTATATTCACTATAGATTTTTCAGATATTCTTTGTCAGACAAAATTTCTTTATATTTTTAGTTTCTGGGGAGTTCTAAATCAAATGTTGAATTTTGTTGATTTTTTTGGAATTAATTGAGATGGTCATATGACTTTTCTCCTTTATTCTGAAAATGTGAATTATATTGGAAGATTTTTGAATGTTTAAATCTAACTGGCATACACCCATT